ATTCACGTATACCTACAAAAAGAAAGTATTAATTCTCAATCCACTACAAACAGTTATGCCAGTTGGCCGTAACATAATATGAATTTCATACAGACTGAGAATAACCACCAATCGCTACTGTATATTATTTGTACAAAGACAATAAACCATATGAAACGCTGCGTGTGGCAACATCTTTGTACTCAGAAAGATGTATTTAAGTTTACGTATTCATCGATATACCCATAGAAATATAAGCCTACTTCACCCGTGCCAGGAAAGTTGGTGATTGATGCTTGTTTGTACATGTGGTGGGGTTGGCACACAAAGCCTGACCGAGAATTGAATCCGTTTAGATGATAACGTATACGTACCTAACAATGAACATATTAATAAACGAATCCGTACAGCTGGAGATGGGTACGTATGTACAGACTTACATATATAGGCGGTTGCACAGAATTATAAATGTTCCTAAGTTTCGTAGATACGAACTTCAGACGTGTAATTGTAACCAATACCATATAGATATCCGGACCTACTTAACAGTACAAGGCATAGGGAGTACTTGACTTTCACAAACAGACAGCACACTAGACTATTACAGACACACAAAAATACCGGAGTATCAAAGACGTGTAGACATACTTAACTTTTAAAGACATATACACATACTTGACATTGACAGATACATAAACATACTTAACTTTTACAGACATATACACATACTTAACTTATACAGACACATAAGCATACTTAATTTTTACAGACATATAAACATACTTAACTTTTACAGAGACATAAACATACTTAATTTTTACAGACACTTAAATATACTTAACTTTTACAGAAACATAAACATACACAACTTATACAGACACATAAACATACTTAATGTTTACAGACACAAAAACATACTTAATTTTTACAGACACATAAACATACGTAAATTTTACAGACACATAAACATACTCAAATTTTACAGACACATACACATACCTAACGTTTACAGACAAATAAACATACTTGACTGAAACGAAGAGATCGGGCAGTTCAGCATCCTCCATCGTGGTAGTGTTATTGACATCAAATGCGTCTATGGCCACTTCAATGTCAGACCGAGCATTGCAATCCACCTTCGCATTCAAAACAGGCAGCGCAGCATTCTAGGATATATGTAGATACAATGGAACCACTGATGAGAAGTACTATATATATATATATAAATATAAATATATGTATATATATATATATGAAATTAA